AGTATAATGATGTACACCTGAAATTTATACAATGTTATAAACCAATGTTACTGCAATAAACAAAAAATTTTAAAAAAAGAAACTGTTCAATAAAGGATGTCAACATTTAAAAAAAAATAGTATCCCCATTTTACAGAAGAGAGGCGGAGACCTAAACTAAGTGACTTGATCCAAGACACACAACAGTGAGTGGCTGAGGCAAGGGTAACTGCCAAAGTTCATAGGTTTTCCAAGACAGCCCCTCTATCATGAAAGCCCCATGAGAAAGGATTCCTGATTTGTGTGTGATGGAGAACAGGCAAGAAAGCTCTATTCTTCCGCCGGGAGCCCCCACCTCACCCCTACCCCTTTGCCGTAATCCGCATTTCCTCACCCTCAGACGGTCAGCCCCCGATTCCCACGTGGCCTCTTCCCCAGCTCGGGCCCTGGACGTGGCTCTGCTCGACTAAAGGATGGCCCCCTCCGCGTTTCCCCACCTCTGGGCAGTCTCAAGGCAGACCCTCCATTCCTCTGCGCCCTCTTCCCCCCTCCCACGGGGTTCTCTTACAACCCTGACCTGCATTCCTCGCGGGAGGGCGAGCTCCGGAGATCGCATAGAGAAACTGTAGTGTCCAGGGTCCGAGCGATGCCCGCTTCCCGCGGCGGGGAAAGCCCAGTCTTCCCGCTGCCCTCGGGAGGCTCCGCACACCTCCAGCAGCGCCATGATCGCCTGGCACCCGGAGATCCGTCGGCTCTCGGAGGAGGAAGTGAAAGCGAAAGCCCGCAGCCTTAAGGGGAGGGAACCAGAATTTTTTCCACATCCCCCTGCCCTTTCCGAGAAGAAGTCAGTGGATGTCGGGGGACCAGGAATATCATATTGGGAACGGACTTTTGCGCTCCGCCTTCTTGGACATTAGGGAAACAGTGGGTAATAGACTGTCAGAAGAAAGGAAGAAAGAGAGGGAACGGCTTCGAAAGCCCCCTTGGCGATGAGGTTACAGTGAGAGAACAGGCGGGGCGTCCTCTGGGAACAGTCAGGGAGTGGTAGGGGTCGTATCATCTAAAAGCGTAGCCTCAACCAGAAAGCTGGAAGTCAGCAAGACTCACGTCGGGGGTGGGGGTGGGGTGTTCATATGGGCATCATTTCATACAAGTAGGGGAGGGACAGGAGTGCCTGGGGCCACTGAGTCTTGAGCACCAGTCCTGGGGCAATAGGCAATAGAATATACCAGCGGCACATGGGGGAAGCGGCACCAAGGAGAGGGCGCAGTCTCTGAACCTTTCCACGTGGTCCCTCATAGGGCCTCTCTCGGTTCAACAGTCTCCCTAACCTGTAGCCACCCACAACTACTGCCTTTTCTGCCCACACCTCCTCGCATAATTCTTGCTTGCCTGACCACTGCTGAGTTTAACTCCTCTAAACCCCGCCTTTCGCTGCAACCTCTTTTGGCCTAATCTGCCCAGCAACTGTTAACGTTACATACCGTGGCCCTCCCTTGAATGGAGGAGATGTGCTAGCAACCCCGCCCACTACGCTGAGACTACCCCGGCAGGTGCCGCTTCTGAGCCGGGTGAGCCCGGCAGGCAAGGCCCAGGGCGGGCGAGGCGGGGAAGGGTGAGGCGCGACCAGCTCGTCCGCTCGCGCGCTTGCACTTCCACCAGCCGCGCTCTCCCTCCGTCTTCCACCTCAGGAAGGCGCTGGCTCCGGGCTGCCGCTGCTGGTGCCTTGGAGGGCGCTGTATCCCGGTTTGGCTTATCCCTGGGAACTAGGGGGGGGGGGGGGGGGGGGGGGTGGACCATAGGAAATAGAAAACTTAAGGGAGAAAGAAGATGGCTCACTTAAGGCTGTGAAACATCGAGGATGCTGAAGGAGGGAGACACCCAGAAAAGAACACTGAAAAGATGTGTGAGATATTTGGTGCGCTGAAAATGCGAGAAACCACAATACAAAACACCAGTTTTATTATAAATATCAAGAATCCACAGGGTGTTTATGGGCCGGCATATGCCTTTGGTCTTATTGGAAAGTAGATGATCTTCCCCTCTGTGTATTCTAAATATTTCTCCTGATTTTCAGGGTGCTATCCACACCAACCCTGGCTCTAAACCCAGTTACACTAAGGAGTTATAAAGTCTATGTTTTCTTCTAGGAAGTCTGCGTTATCAAGAGGAGTTTGGAGAGGGGGTAACGCTCATGGCTGAATGTCAGGCATCATCTAGGGGGTTACATTTTAGGATGTAACTCCTTCTAGAAGCAGCTGCCTACTCTCCAGCTCTGTAAGATTTCTGTTCCAAAATTCTCCACTATAGAGAAGAGAAAAAAAGGGAGGGAGAGGGAGGGTGCAGGTCTGAGAAGTCTTTCATTCCGGAGCGCCTGACCCGCCAGGAGCCTGCACCATGGCCCAGTAGCGTCCCTTATTCTCCATGAGCTGCTGGTGGGTTCCCGCCTCACAGATGATGCCTCCTTCTAGAAAGAGGATTTGGTCAGCCTGCTCCACCGAGCTGAGACGCTGGGTGATGAGAAGCACGGACCGAGAGCACCGCTCGGGGCTTTCATACAGGAGCTGCTCCACCTGAGAAAAGACATGGACTCTGTCAGAGCTGGGCACCTCTCCCAGCCCGGGCAGACATCTGTGTTTCCAGAGCTGAGACAGACCTCACCAGGATCACTGCCACCTCTGCCAACAACCCCAAGGAGATCGAAGATTCTCTTTCTGAGTGTTTCTCTGTCAAATCTTTGATTTATTAAGGACTGTGTACAGGAGGTGGCAACAGTGGCATAAAAGTAAGCATCCTATGGTGAAACCCATAAGAAAAGAGTGAAGGGTATTGAATAGTCCCTCCTCTGCACCTATGGACTGGGAATTTTTATATTCTGTTTTAAGGAAATATAACTTAGTGGTGAAGAGCATGAGCATTCAAGTCAAGTGGACTTGAATTTGGGTCCAGGCTCTGCTACTCAACAGCTGGATGAGTGAGCAGGTTATTTGATCTCTTTTAGCCTCCATATTATCATCTGTACAATGAGGGTAACAAACCAGCTCACAAGCATTCATGATGAAGACATGAGTGAGACAGTACATGTAAAGGGCCTAGTAGCATGTGTGGCACATAGTAAAAGCTCAATTAATATTAATATTATTAGGATGGTCTCTTCCTTACGTTTGGCTTCAGAGATTCAGAGTCTGTAGACGGTCTCTTTTAAATGGTTCTAGGCATCCTGGGGAGTAACCGATGGGAACTGAGAATTGCAAGCACTGGTCTGGATAATTATGATGTTAGGATGACTAACATAGGATGAGTGAAGGAAGGAAGATTGGGTGGGAGATAGGCACTAAGAAGATGATTCTCTAACCCGTAACTGGCTGTTTGCATCCAGGGCACTGGTGGCGTCATCCAGGATGAGTACATGTGGATTCCGGATCAATGCCCGAGCCAAGGCCACTGCCTGTCGCTGACCACCTGATAGCTGGCTCCCAGTCTCGCCTACCTCTGCAGAGACAAGACAAGGGGCAAGCTGGACAACCACATGTGTACCCCCGTGCACACACACACAGAGCAAGGACTGATGGATGCAGCTGGATAGGGATGGTTCTGGGAAAGTGAATGGAGTTCTGAGGATGTGAGGATGAAGGAGCCACAGGAACAAGATCTTACAACTTCAAATTGATGTCAGTGGGGCAGGAGGAACTGATGATTAAAGGCAAGACTATTGGGGTTTCAGGAAAGGTAAAGATGTCTGGGTGGTGATACAAGTGGGAGAGCACCTGTGTCGTAGCCCTGAGGGAGTTCAGAGATGAAACTATGGGCTCCAGACTTCTTTGCAGCCGCTATGACTTTCTCCATAGTTGGCTTCTGGATCAGGCCATAGGTAATATTTTCTTGAAAACTTCTTCCAAATAGCAATGGCTCTTGTCCCACTGCAGCCACCTGGGATGAAATATGATGAAAAGTCATAGAACAAGGAACACAGGAGTATGGCTGTCTAGAGACTGAAGACTCAGTCTTTATTGAGAGCATATCACAAAATCACACACCCTCTCTGCTGACCACACCCCCATCTCCACCCAAGGTTTCCTACGATTCCCTAACCCTTCCTTTAGAGTGCTCAGTGAGAGTGCCCAGTGAGAACGCTCTTTTTACTTGGTGCTACCCACCCCCACCCCCACGCCACCTCTTGCTCACCCGTTGGTGCAGGTAGTGGTGTTCATACTGGGGAAGGGGCTTCCCATCCAGCAGCAGCCGCCCCCCTGTGGGCTGGTACAGATTTTGCAGCAGGGCAGCCACTGTGCTCTTCCCAGATCCATTGGGCCCCACCAGCGCCGTCACCTCACCAGGACGTAGGGTGAACGTCAGCCCCTGGAGGCCAGAGGATCACACAGTAAGAGGCAGACTAAGGCCCCTAACCTTGAGACTGGCATTGTCTCATTACCCAGCATGATGTCTTACCCCAGAGAAGAAAGGAGAAAAATAGGTAAACAGAGCAACTCCTACCCTCCCTCATGCACAGACTTCTGTTCCTCAGGAATGAGACCTCCCCAAGGAGTAGAGATGGAAGATGAGGCAAAGACAAGAGCAAAGACTAAAGACCACTGTGCCACGCTTGATATCAGACACCATGAGAAAACAGAAAAATCACATTCCAAATCACAAAGGGAAAGAAAAGGAAAGATGGAAGACTGGAGACATTGATTTTGCTTCAGCAATTCCTCAGGATGTGAGAGTCTTTTCCCTAGAGCCTCCTCTCCCACTCTCCTTGGAAATCCAAACTGGTTCTTGAGTTTGGAGCAGTTTTATGGAATAGATGATGCTCCTCTTTGCCTTTGAAGGGTTAGGAAGGATCTACCTGTACCTGGTGGTAAGCAGGCTGAAGGCAGGAAGAAAATTTAGGATGGTAGAGTTGAGAGTGAGGTTGGTGGAGTGCAAGGATTGGTAGGTTGTACCTGCAACACGGGGACATCTGGACGGTTTGGGTAGGCGAAGGAGACATCTTGGAACTGGACAAGGCCCTCCAAGTTTAAGGAAGTCAACACACCACTGGCTGGGCAGCAAGGGATCCGGTCCAGGTATTCAAATATTTTCTCTGAGGAGCCCACAGCCTTCTGTACCCTGGGATAGGTGGAGAGCAGTACCTGGAGGGGAGGTATGAATAGTGAGGTGGGGCAGGGAGACCTAATCTGCTTGCCAGGGTTATGTGATGTGAGAAGGGTAAAGAATGGAAGGAAAGTGGCCAAGATGGTGATGGGACGGGGTGGGAAAGGCAATAGAGAGACTGGAAGGACCTCACCTCAACAGCTGTGGTGAACTGGATCTGGTAGAGAACAAATGAGACAAGGTTCCCACTGCTTATGGCCCCATTTGTCACCAGCTGACCACCGACGTATAGGATTCCCACCTTCAGCAGCATTCCTGAGATCTGTGGAGAGTCCACAGGAAAAAAGAGATTGTGGTAGAAAAATCTAGAATGGGCGCAAAGAACCAGAATCGTTAGCATTAAGGACATATAAAGTCCCTTTCCCCCAAGTAACAGCAGTAGGCTCAATAGGTAGACAGGAAGAATGAACCATAGCGACCCCATGGAGTCTTACTCAATTACACATGACAGAAGTCATCATGATCATCATCACCATCCCCATTATCGCCTTGTTTGGGGAGCGTTTTGCTCTTCACAAAAGGCTTTCATGAATCTAATGTCATCAATATTCATATCAAGATCCCTATAAACAAAGTTATATCACTCTCATTTTTTTAAACGAGGAAACAGTCTCAGAGAAGGCAAGTTACTAGCCCATGGTCACAGAGCTAGTAAATGGTGGCATCAAGCCAGGAACTTCTGATTCTTGGTCTAGTTCTCTTTCAATTCCATCACAGAGGCCCCTCATTCTTGGCTTCTGCTAGTCTCATGGCTACGACTAGCACATCCACACAGTCCCAGCATGAAGCGGGCCCAGGTGTAGGAACTTATGGCTCCCTGAGAGGCAAAGGAAGGCCCTAGAACTGGATGACATGGCATCTCCCTAAAAAGGAGGTTGGGTGGACTTTGTGTACCATAGTGGAAGGAAGCCATCCAGCATGGCTAAAAAGAGGGAGGGGGTTAGGAACACTGAGTAGGGTAATTGAGCCTCAGGATGCTAGGATGAGAACACTGAACCACCCATTGCCCAGTGGAGGAGTGTGCAGCAGGGTCACGGGAAAGGGAACGGAATTGAGGCATCTCAGGGACAAGGGAATAGGCATTCATCTCCAGGTGCTCACACTGGTGGTCCAGAGGTTGACTGCATAGGCCAAGGCCTCCTTCTGGTTCAGTGTCTTCATTTCCTGCAGCTTTTGCCTAAACTTCTGGGCCTCACCCTCTTCGTTGGCAAAGCTCCGGACTGTAGGCATAGCCGACAGAACCTCAATGGCCACCTGGCTGGACTCTGCCAGAGACTTCTGCACCTGTGCTGCCAGCGTCTGTGGAGACATGGACAAGAGATGTCACAAAGGGTTGACAAACCAAAGGGACACTAGTACCTGAGTTACCTGAATGGAGACTAAAGGTGGAAAGAGGCAGAGGGACAGGAGAAAAGAGAAAGAAACACAGTTATCCCCCCTGGATACTAAAGCAATACAGACGAGAGGAAAATGACTCAGAAGGGCCATAGGGGATCATATTCTTGAGACTGGTGATCATATTCTTAAAGATAGATTGTGGCCAGAAGAGAAGACAGAGAATATGAAGATCAACATTGAGCAATCCTACAAAGGTGGAGAATCAGTGAGGGTGCCAGGAAAGAAATATAAGAGGATCTGAGTCCTCCAAGTCTGGGAGATGAGGGTCTGTGTAAGTTGAGGCGACTCCCTGGACATACCTGCTGCCATTTTCCCAGCTTCTTCGGCAGAAGGAAAAGCAGAGGCAGGGCGACCAGGGTGACCATGGTGAGAGACGGTGACCCCCAGAGCATGAGCCCCAAGAGACACAGCCCTCGCACCAGGTACCACAGCAATAGGCTCAGCTGGTCACTCAGAGACTCACTCAGGGTGGACGTGTCCTCTGTTACCCGAGATGTGATGGCACCTGCCGGGTTCAGGACAAGAGAGCGGAGTGAGTGAGAGGCAGAGTGATGGGAGGGACTAGGAATGAGCCTGGCTGCCAGGGGGAGGGGTGTCGACATGGTGTTCTAAAGAGGCTGGGGAAAACAAGGTTAGGGCTATAGGGAGGTTTGGCGATCTCAGTGCAGGGAGAAGGAGTGTTAGAGAGGAAAAGCGTGGCCAAAGACCTTCAATTTAATTGTAAAGAAACTGATGCCCATGTGAATTTCCGTTTCTCTGACAGATTTCTGTTCCTTAAAAAACCTGTATATCCCATGCTGTACACATAGACAGGAAGAGTTTAAGCTGGTGATATAACAGAGCTGGAGAAAAACAGAGGGCGCTAATATAAAGCAGTGCAGGAAACTGTACTGAGCACTGAACTGAGAATCAAGAGACGGGTTCCATCCCCAGGTTCGTCTCTTATCCATATGTGACCATGCAAGTTTCAGCATTGAGGGTCTAGGCCTCAGTTTCCCTCTCTGTAAAATGAGGCAGTTGGACTCTGTGATCTCAAAATTTCCAGGCTTGAAATTCTGTAGTTTCTATCTAAATACACATATAGGGATACATTTATGGAAAAATCTTGGATGGAAAAACTAGGGCTTTTTGAAGGTAAAGAGTGTCATATTTTGCCCTTGAGGTATAACAAGAATAAGAAATGACAATGTTCATATGTGAGAGAGAGGGATCAAAGTTATAAGTAAAGAAGATGTATGGGGATATTAAGAGTACATATATGGATGTGTAATGAAAGAGATTCACGAGAAACCTGTTTGGGTCTGTTGGAAAAACTCTGTTTCCTGGCGCAGGACAGCCCGAAACACCTCTCCGTGCAAGTGGCTGTGCACGCGGCCCATGGTGCTGTTGTAGATCCCATCACCCAGGAACTCCAGCACTGCACTAGAGAGAGACAGAGAAGGAGGGTCAGGGTGTGTTCAGGGGACAGACAGAAGGTCCCAGGTATCCCTGAGAAGTGCACTTTGGACAGCAGCCCGAACTTCCAACTCCCTTTTTTTCAGAGTCCCCCCTTCTCAGCCTTCCATCTTTAGTGCCCAGACCTGGCTATGGTGAGAATGGACATGAGAGCTATGTTTTGAGTGAAGGCAGCGGCTGACCCATCTTGTAGAATCCGGCCGGTGAGGCGGCCAGTGAAGAATGGAATGGCCATCTCCCCTGGGGAAGGAGAGGAGAGAGAGGTCAGTCACTAATATCAAGTCTGAGCAGGTCAGCTCCAGCCAGACTGGCCTCAACCCACCCCTCTTTCACCCTTCACCATTATCCCGGAGGTCAGTGGCAGAAAGAGCACACTGAGGACACAACCCTGCACCTGAACAGGCCGCCCTGGAACTCACGACGCTGTCACCGCCAGACCTTTAGGAGTTTAATTAGGAGATCATAGGGTGTGTGCCCCAGAGGAAAGGACTTGCCCAAGGTGGCCAGTGAAGCCACGCCTGCGGCAGCACTGGAGTCCACGACTCCTGACTCCCACCCAGTCCGGGGCTCTTTCGTCTACACTGGAGTGGTCTTCTCAAGACCCGAGCTCGGTCGCCTTCGCCCGATCCACATTTCCCAGAATGCATACTAATCTCTCTCACTGACCATTGCTGTTGATTCCTGCCGAGTCCCCTAGCGTCCTCTCTGTCCCCGTGCGCCCCCCTTACCAAGACAGGAGAAGACCAACAGGACGAGAACCGGCGGGAGGCGGCGTATCTCTGAGCCCAGGCAGCCCAGAAGCCGACGCACCGCGTCTCCAGAACCCCCGTGATCTCCTGGCACCCACAGTCTCCTGAGATTGTGCCACAGGGCGGCTGCGGGCAGTGCCGCTGCGTAGCTGAGGACGAAGGCGTCAAGGCGACTTCCCCAGTGCAGTAGCCTCGTGCTGCCGGCGTCCCTGGGGACTCTCCAGGAGGCGAGCTCTCGGAACAAGGCGAGTCCCGGCAGGGCCAAGCCCAGCGCCGCCGCCAGCGGCTCCAAAGAAGCCAGCCATCCTTGGACTCCTGCGCTTTCGCTCTTGGAGCCAACGGTGGCCCTGAGGACTGTGCGGGCCCCCAGCCACAGCACAGCCCAACGGCTCAGGCCCACCGCCCAGACCCGGAGCAGCGGCAGCGCGTTGGGCACCAGCAGGGAGAATACTCTGGGCAGCGCCGGCCGGAGCAGGACCCAGTCGGCGAGAAGCAGCAGCGTTGTGCCCAGCCACGCGAGGGAAGCTCGGGAGAGGCAGAGGCCCCCGCAGGGAGCGGGGGACCGTGAGCCGGCCATTGGCACGCGGGCGCTGTCGGGCGTCGCGCCCGGGCCTGGGGCTCCGCCGTCCCCGCTGGGCCGGAGTCTCCGGGTGCGGTTCGAGTCGGTGCCCGAGCGGGCGCCGGGACCGGCGGCTGGGGGAGGGAGGAAGGGCGGGCCGGGGCGGAGCTCTCGGAAAGTCCCAGGAACCGGCTGAGCCCGTCCGCGCTAGCAGGTTTAGAGGAAAGAGAAAACGAAAGCGGTCCGCGGCTCGCTAGACCCGCCCCCTTCCGAACACGGCCGGCCCAGATGATTTGGGGAAAGGGCTTAAAGAAATCAGATCTGAGGTTCTGGGGAGCAGCCCCGGTGCTCCATCTTGTCCATCACGCACAGCCGTCCCTCCTCCTTTCCTTGCTTCCTCCGGTAGGATCCACTTGTCGGGACTTTCTCACCCCAGCCTCAGGGCGGGACTCTTGCGTCACCTGTCTCCGGGCAGATCGGCCGCACAAAGGTTAGCGCTCGGAAGCGCGGCCTCGGGAGAGGACCCAGGCGCCCCCTGGCGGGCGTGGTGAAGGGGCGGGGCTGTAGGCTGCGCGCAGCGCGCTGTCCCAGGTCGGAAACCAGTGCCCCAGGCAGCGAGGAGCGCGGCGCCGGGATGCTGCGGGCGGGAGGACCAACCGGGGACTTACCCCGGGCCGGAGAAGTCCACACTGGGGTAATGAGCTGGGCTTGAGGGTTAGCAGAGGGGTGGAGGAAGTAGAGCGATAGGGGGACGGTGGAAGCGCCGAGGAGTGAATGCGGAGACTAAGGAGAGTGAGGAGATAGCTTGTAGCAGCCAGTGCTTGCACCCCACAATGATATAGGGCATCTGTATTCTGAAGGGGATCATCTAGGGGTCCGCGAAGGGACTGGGCACTGGAGGCTAGTGGAGAAGGGGGTGCTTTGGCTCTTAGCTGGAAACGTCAAGGGGAAGCTGTTCTAAAGCGCTTTCGCTTTCACTCTGAACTGGAGAGAGGGGCTGCTCTGAACTGGGAGGGGGTTGGAGAAGGTGCAAAGAGATAAGAAAATGGTGCCCTGGGTAAAGTAGGACAACACTTGGGGGAGGGAAGTATGGGCGCTGATCGCAAAGGGACACCTCATCACACAGACTTTTGATAAACTGGTCCCTGAGTAACTCATAGCCCAGCACTGATCATGGGTGTTCCATGTGAGCTGATGGTGCCCTTCTCTGGCTTGGCCCAGGAAGGCGCCTGCATGGCCCAGGTGCTGCCATGCTCCCTTCCCTGTGTCTTCCCTACCCACTCCCACACGCCTGCTGGGGACTTTGTCCAGGCTGGGTGCCTGGAGATGTGGCAGCCTTCTGCTCCCAGACTACTGCTGCCACTCTTGGCTTGGGGCAGCTTTGTTATAGAGGAATGACCTCTAGGACGGGGTTGCCCCTGCTCTCTGGCCCTCTACTCATGGGAAATCAGCATGTCAGAAAGCATCGTCAGGGCAGTATCCCCAGGCGCCAGACTAACTGACAAGTGGTGAGCAAGATAGCGGTAAAACCACTAATATGTTAGAAAATCTCCCCTCACTGCCAGATGAACAGTGGCAAGTAGGAAGTAGAAGTCCAAACAAGGGATGGCAGTTAGACTTGGGTTTTGTCCCAGTCTGCTATTAATTCTGTGTGACCTTGGATGAATCACTTGCCTTCTCTATAACTCGGTTTCCTCATTTGAGCCAAGTATCTTTAAGGCTCTTTCCAACTCAACGGGAGTAGAGAAAGTGTAGCTTTATCCTCCTTCACTCTTCCTTAATTCTTTTCTTGACCTGAAAAAGTCAGCTCAGACTCTCCAATCAACTCCCTCTTCCCTTGGCTGCTGGGGTATCTATTTACCTCTTGATCAGAAATCCTTAAGTGAAACTTTTATTGTAAACCATCACATGTGCTCCCTGCTGCTTCCCTCCTTCCTTGACATGTGGCCATGCTAACCACTTACCCCTCCATGTTTTTCTCCATTGTTCAGTAAACTGAAAAAGCTTGCTTCTGATTAAGTGGGGGGCGGGGGGGGAGGATTTAGGGCCAAAAAAAGACCTGAGCTGTTTCCCAAGGTCACAGTAACTTGCTCTGTGTCAGGTCTGTACTGCATTTGCACATACAACAAGCACATGTGGTAGAGGTAATTCACTTGTGGGGCTGCCTCACTGAAGCTTGGAAGTACCCCCTGAGCCCTTCCCTCAAAGGGAGCGCTTATGCCCCTAGGAGCTTCATCCCCAACTGTCTCCCTACAGTGGAAAGGATTCCATGTAGGAAGGTTGGAACTTAGGGATGTGGTTCTTTCTGTGTCATACCACGGCCAGGCTATGACATTCCCTTGCAGCTGAGAGAGGCAATAGAGAAAATGGGAAGATGGAAGAAAAAATCCTGTAAAGTGGGAATCAGCTCTGGCCTGAATTATTGAATGCCCTTGAGCCAGTTACCGCTCCTCTTTAGGAATGTTTCCTCATCTGTAACATGAGGGGATCAAGGCTCTGCCTGCTCTGACATTCCGTCTTCTGTGTCTCTGCAGACAACCATCATGGCAGTAGAGTTTGATGGGGGCGTTGTGGTGGGTTCTGATTCCCGGGTGTCTGCGGGGTAAGTATCAGTGAACGTATCTGCTTTGGGAAGGAAGCTAGTGGCCCTAAATATGTGTTTTTCTTACCCATTCATGAAGAGACTAGTGAACTGGATCTTTGGAGAAATGGAGTTAACCTTTCAGAAAGGCCAGTATAATAAGATATTGGGTGGGTGCTCAGGTCTCTGATTTCATGGAGGAGCATGTGGGGCCTGAATGCTTATGTGGCCTGTCCCTGGAAGGAATAGAGTCTAAGAAGGGGATAGGAGATGGAGATTTGAGGGGCCCTCTTTAGATAGAAAAGATGATTCTGCCAAGCAGATATTCTGGTTTCTCATCTTTCACACGTTGAACTAATTTTGAGTCTTTCTCCCTCCTGGCCAATTGCCTCACATGCAAAATGACCATATGAGATTAGACCAATATTACTTACTTTATGTTCCATGAAACACATAACTTCCTCAAGATGGTTAATAGCAAAGAAAAATTGATAAAAGGAGCATTGTTCTTAACTTAGTATTTTTTATTATAAAATCTAAGCCTGAAAGTAAGTCTAATTCTGATTATTACTTGCAGTGTTTCATTTATTTGAGACGATTTTTATGCTCCCTGCTTTAATCCAAGCATTGAATTTCATGCACTATGTGGCTGTCCTCTTGTCAAATAAGTTTGAGAAACACCGGACGATTAACCTCAAAAATTTCTGCAACTCTAACGTTGATGACTGTTGACTCCTTTCCGACAGAGAGGCAGTGGTGAACCGAGTGTTTGACAAGCTGTCCCCACTGCACCAACGTATCTACTGTGCCCTTTCTGGTTCAGCTGCTGACGCCCAGGCTGTGGCCGACATGGCCGCCTACCAGCTGGAGCTCCATGGGTATGAAGCTCGAAGCTCTCGGGTCCTCACTCCACACCTGCTAGAGCTCCCCCAGGCAGTGAACCCCCGTACCGTGTCCTGTTGCAGGAGCACTGTCTTGTTTGAGCTCTTGCTTTTGTTAGCTTTCAACTGGCACTTGAATCTCTCTAAGCTGGTTTCTGCATCCGTAAAGTGGAGATAATAGTACCTACCCTACCTCGCCAGATGGTTGTTTTGAGAAGCAAATGACATATGCGAAGGCAGTTTGAAAACTTTAAATCACTATCCTAATGTAAATAATGAGGAAGAAAAGGATGATGTTGCCCACCAAAATATCAGACGGTTACTGTATGAAAAACCAAGGTCTTGGGGTGGAAGTAAAGCTTATCTGCTATTACCCACGTGGGCAGGGCCCTTGCAGCCAAGAGAGAGTTATGCCATTGGGGGGTGAATGGGTGGGACAGAGTAAAGGAGGGGAACAATTGAAATCTTGTTACTGGTTGGTGGCGTGAGACTCTGGCTCCCCTGTACATGTGGGAGGGGAGCCAGAGTTTGAACCATTGCAGCTATAGGTTTCAAGTGTCACTTGGCAGGAATGATGGAAATGGCACAGGAGGATGGAACCTCAGGAAATTATATTGACCCCTATTCCTAACATTTCCTGCAGGATGGAACTGGAAGAACCTCCGCTTGTTCTGGCTGCTGCCAACGTGGTGAGGAATATCACCTACAAATATCGGGAGGATCTGTCTGCACATCTCATGGTAGCTGGCTGGGACCAACGTGAAGGGGGCCAGGTGAGTCTTCCCCAATGCACTCCCTCCCTTGAGGTTCCCCACTCTCCTGTAGAGGGACATGGAGGTCATATGTCATTCTAGCAATGAGTTCCAAAGACATTGCCTCTAAAAGCGTAGTACGGTCTCAACCAATGGGGGTATGAGATATTGGGGCTTCATTGCAGAGTGCAGAGACCACCTGCTTGTCTCAGGAGGAAGGAGAAGACTGATGCTTCTATAGTCTGACCTGAGGATGCCTCCCTCAGGTATACGGAACCCTGGGAGGAATGCTGACTCGACAGCCCTTTGCCATTGGTGGCTCTGGCAGCACCTATATCTACGGTTATGTGGACGCAGCATATAAACCAGGCATGTCCCCTGAGGAGTGCAGGCGCTTCACCACGGATGGTAACTAACCAAGTGGAAGGGTACCTGGGAGGGTTTTTAAACATGGGAAGGAAGTAGAATATGAAGAACAGGAAGAGGAATACATGGGTGACCATTTAATTTAATGTCCAAAGGACAACACTTTTGAGAGTGAAAGGGGGCAGAATAAATGCTTACCTAAATGGGACTTCAGGACAAAAGGCATAAACCAGGACTGTTCTGAGTACACCAAATTAAGGTACATGGTTACCATAAGAACCGGCAGTGTGCTGGAGCTGGCTTGGGCCAGCTCATGAGAGCCAATTGTTAAATAATCAAGGGTTTGTGACCTGCTTGTTAAGCTATTTATAACTTGAAATTGATCATGGTGGGAGTATTGAGACCATAGACATCAGGAGATGCTACATATGAAGGCTTTTATTTTTTTAAGTTGGTTTACCAGCACACCACTAAATGTGCCTTTCTAGGAGATGGGTTTTGAGGTCTGAATGTGGTAGTAGGCATATGGACAGGAGGGAAAGGAAAAGATTTTTGAAGCTAAGCCATTCTCTCTCTCTCTCTCCCCAACTTGAAACCCTCTGCAGCTATCGCTCTGGCCATGAGCCGGGATGGCTCTAGTGGGGGTGTCATCTACTTGGTCACTATTACAGCTGCTGGTGTGGACCATCGAGTAATCTTGGGCAATGAGCTGCCGAAATTCTATGACGAGTGAATCTTCTTCAAACTTCCCTCCCTTATTTTATAATAAACTTTCTGGGAACAGAACCTGGTACTGTCAGTGGGAAATGGGTACTCAGGGAGATGAAGCTTAGCGGAGGGGACTTCCTCCCTCCCAGATACCAGCACACCCTTTTTATTCCTTTGTTCTCAGGTCTGAAACATCTTTCTCAAGAGGAAGAGTGGGTAGTATACTAGAAAGAGCCCTATACATGACAGGTCATCATGTACGGAGTGATTCAGAAATATTAGAAACAATAGAAATTCTCATTCTGATGCCCAAGGGATGAGGGTGCAAGTGAGGAGCTGAGATTCATTCCCTCAAAGTTAAGACTGATAGGTAGATAAGACAGCTACCCACGTGAGAATTAGCTAAGAGCACCAGCAAACTCATGTGAGAAAATTCCTTTAATAATGCATTCGTTCGCATTAGAGATCAATACATGATAAATGCTTAAATATTTTGGGAGCATTTGTGAATTTCAAAGAATAATAATAACCAAAGAAAGCTACATTTATTGAGCCAGGCATTGGCTAAACGCTTATGAACTTTATCTCTTAGAACCCAAACAAACAAAAAACCTTATATAGGTACTATTACTGCTTCTATTTAAAGACAGATGGAGACTTAGAGCAAGTCACTTGATCAAAGTCAAAGCAAGTTCAAAAGCTGAGATCTGGGATTTAGTTTTACCATATGCCCTTACTTTACCATTATATAAACTTTCCACTCCCTCAAGCTTCGTATATCATCTCCTCCTTGAAATCTGCAAGAATTAGCCCAGCACGTTAATTGACACTTAGGAAGTGGGTATCAGATGCCTGAGTAACAGTATTAAACAAGCTGAATTCTGGTCCTATCTTTGCCATGTACTTCCTGAGTGACAGGACAAATTATTCCCCTTCTGTGAGCCCTCATTTCCTCTTCTGTCAAATGAAGGTATTGAGTGACTTCTAAGATGGTTTACAGCTCTGACATTCAATGCCATTTTGCTAATAAGTGAGCAGTTAAGAGGCATATTTAACAGAAATACTAGTAGGCTCCCCAGGAAGCTTCTGACTGCTTTTCTTTCTGGATCTCAAGCTAAACATACAACTTCAAAGTACCTTAAAACAATCCTATGCCTTTGGGAGTGTGTGTTTGGTTTGGGGGAAAACAAATCTAAAATTACTGGAGCCCTGAGTTCTTTCTAGCCTTGATATTTAATTTATTTTAAAGTTTAAAATAATAGTTTAAGAGCCTGTCTCTCCCACTGATCACAATGAGAAATTCTGGAGAGTAGACAAGAACAAGTACTAGAGGATTCTGAAAAGTAAAGAACAGCAGGTGGGTTGTGAAGAGAGTCAAAACTTGGAGAGGCAACCCTCCTGGGGGTGGTTATCAGTTTGTTTTCCTCTTTCTTCTCAGGGCTTTGCCCCGAAGTCAGGCCTGCGATGCTGAGCTGCACAGCCAGCTAAATCTCCAAGAAAAAAACATCTTTCCCTTGATGAGAGAAACTGAGAAAAGGGGCCCCTGTGGGCGGGACAGTGTAGGGGAATTTCCCTAATGAGAGCGTGAAGAAGGGGATTCTCTAATTCTAGGTATGAACCCTCTTGAGTAGCTGTTACCTCTGAGCTGCGCGTGCGTGTGACACGCCCAGAACAGCACAGCAATGACTTTGAGAACCGAACTAAGATTTAAACCTTTTAAAATTAAAACGCTATCTTTTTTTGTAACTGGACAAAGAATTGTGTCCTTATGTCTCTCGTTCCAAAAAGGGTTTGTAGCAGCTTACAGGGACAGGCACAATTTAAAAAGAAGGAGAAGAAGAAATCAGGGCAAAGAGAAAATAAAGTTAAGAAAATAAGTGAAGCCGAGGGGTAAAACAAATACACAACATGAATTTTTAAAAAAATGGTGCGCTAGAGCTGTCTTCTACTAGCTAACAAGAGCAGATGGTAAAATAGTTAGGAATTCTGCAAGGCAGTTGTTAACCATTGATGTAGCTTAATGTTAACCGTGGTGGACGTATTTAACTTACAGAAACCAGCAGTGCTACAAGTCAGAACTCTGTTTTTTTCCCTAGAGAGCCAGTTGAACAGGACACTTATTTATCAGCCAGCTATCGTTGAGTAAAAAACAACTGGCTCTGAGCTAACATGATAGTAAAAGCAAAGAAGGAAGTGAAACTAGGTACAAGATTCAAAAGGTTCATTCAAAAAAAGCAAGCCATCCCAAAAACAGCATATATATATAATTTTTTGTCACACAGAGCATTTATTGAAATAGAATATGCGTTACGGCCATAAAGAAAATTCCAATAAATTACAAAGTATCAGTATCTTTGAAACTATCTGCATTCTGCAGCCATACTGTAATAAAATTAGAACTTGACAGCAAAAGGATTCCTAATATTTTCATGGCTTGCAAACTAACAAAATATTGGTAAATAACATGGATTTAAAAGGCAGTCATAAAGGAAGTCAGCTTATTCAGAACCAGGTGGTAAAAACGTTACATATGAAATTTTGTGGGGCACGGCTGATGCAATACTGAGAAAGAATTTTATGGCTTCAAATACATTTATTAGAACACGAAAAGTTAAAAATAAATGATGTAAAAATTCTCCTCAAAAATTTACAAAAAGAGCAACTGAGCAAACCTAAAGAAATAAGAAGAGCCAGCCCTGATGGCCTAGTGGTTAAAGTTCGTTGCACTCCACTTCAGCGGCCCAGGTTCGGCTCCTGGCATGGAACCACGCAACTCGTCTGTCAGTAGCTGTGTTGTGGTGGTGGCTAGAACTAGAAGGACTTACAACTAGAATGTACAACCATGTACTGGGGCTTTGGGGAGGAAAAAAGAAAGAGAGAGAGAGGAAGATTGGCAACAGATGTTAGCTCAGGGTGAATCTTTCCCAGCAAAAAGAAGAAAAGAAATAAGAAGAAAGGAAATTATAAAGATAAGAATAGAAAGCAATTTAATAGAGGTCAAAACCTATGTAGTGAAGATTCACAGAACCAAAAGCTGCTTCTTAAAAAAATATTTGTAAGATATTCAGACTTGGAACAAGACTGATCATGAATAAAGGAGAGAAAAAATGAATAGATAAAATATAGAATGAAAAAGGGGGAGTAGCAATAGATATAACAGAGATATGAAACATGATAAAGGGTATTATGGACACATATATGCTAGTGAGTTGAAAAGCTCAGTGAGAGAGGTAAATTCCTAGAGAAACTTAATCTACCAAAATTAGCACAAGAAGAAATATAAAATTTGACCACACCAGTAAATATTGAAGAAATGGAAAAAATCATCAATAGCCTCTGATAAAAATATTTTTTTTAATGCGCAGATGGTTTCACAAGTGAGTTCCATCAAATATTCAAGAAACATGCAACTCCTGTCTAATGCATTTTTTCTAGAAAATAGAAAAGAAATTAAAAGCTGCTCAGCTAATTTTATCAGGCTAGCATAATCTTTTTTTTTTTAATTTTTTAACTTTTTTTTAACTTTATTTATTTTTCCCACCAAAGCCCCAGTAGATAGTTGTATGTCATAGTTGCACATCCTTCTAGTTGCTGTATGTGGGATGCGGCCTCAGCATGGCTGGAGAAGCCGTGTGTCAGTGTGCACCTGGGATCCGAACCCGGGCTGCCAGTAACAGAGCGCACACACTTAACCACTAAGCCACGGGGCCGGCCCCAGGCTAGCATAATCTTGATTCTAAATTGAGATATGGAAAATTCAAGGAAAGAATATAATAGGCCCATTTCACCTTGAACATAGATGGAAAAAGATAAATAATTATTTACAAACTGAATTCAACAGTATTAAAAATAATGATAATACATCAAAATCAAAGGGGAAATCTTTAGAGTGCAAGGATGCTTCAATATAATAAAATATATTACTATAATTCACCATATTCACAGACTTAGAAAAATCATCTGTTTTTCTTAATTAATAGACGGCATTTTATAAAGTTAAATATCCATGTATGATTTTTGAAAAAAAGTTAATGAACCAGGAATCAAATAAAACTTTCTTCTCTTGGTAAAGATTATATTGCAAAAAATCCATAACAACCAATATACATAATGGAAAAATGTTAGGTGCCCAAGACAAGAATGCGCACTATAATTATTAGTTTAACATAGCACTGGAGTTCAGGCTAATGCATAAGGAAGAAAGAGAAATGAGAGCGCTGAATGAACTATTGTTATTTGCCAATCATATAATCATTTACTTAGAAAAACAACAACAAAAGCGGCAAACTATTAAAATAACAAAAGAATTTATCAACATTTTCAACCATAAGACCAGCTTACAAAAATTAATAGCATTTCCCTACACAGAATAATCAATAAGAAATACAATAAAAATTAGAAATCATGTATTGTAGCCAAAAAGCCATATAGTGTCTAGTGAGTAACATAATTAAGAATTCATAAAAAAATGTAAAACTCTAAAAAGTCATTGAATATGATTTGAAATAATGGAGAGTCATTTTGCGTCTTTGGATGGGATCAATCTTATAAGGATATCAATTGTCCCCCCAAATTAATCTTTAAATTGAGTGTAATCCCAATTGAAACTCCACTTGATCTTTTTGAGGAAATTTGTAAATTTACTCTAAAATATATTTGACAGAATAAAGTCCTCAAATAGCTGAGCAAACCTTCAAAAAAGAACAATACAAAAGGGATACCTGTCTCAAGAAACATGAAGGGCCGGCCCCGTGGCTTAGCGGTTAAGTGCGCGCGCTCCACTGCTGGCGGCCCGGGTTCGGATCCCAGGCGCGCACTGAGGCACCGCTTCTCCCGCCATGCTGAGGCCGTGTCCCACATACAGCAACTAGAAGGAAGTGCAGCTATGACATACAACTATCTACTGGGGCTTTGGGGGAATAAATAAATAAATGAAAAGAAACATGAAGACACTCTATGTGACTATAATTATAAAAAAGACATACTATAAATACAATAGTTATTTAAAAAAAAAAAAGAAATTGACAAGGAGACAGAATTCCAAAATGAGGTATGGAAATAGAGAACTGAGAGACAAATCTACCTATATATGAACCTAATATACAATAAGATTGGCACCATAAATCAACGGGGAAATTATGAATTGTTTAATAGGTGCTGTTAGAAAAAAAATGGCTCACTATATAAAGAAAAATAAAACTGGATCTTGACCTAATGCCACATATAATAGCCAGGCGATTTGAAGCCATAAAAGAGAAATAGAAATCTTTAAATTTAATAGAATAAAAGTAAAAATTATCTTTGTGACCAGGGACAGAGAAGGACTTCTTTATATAAAACCCCAAAAATCATAATGGGAAATACTTTATTATTTCATTACATCAAAATTACAGATTTCTTTAAATGAAGGAGATCATGGACAACTCTTATAAACAAAGAACAGAATGAGAGAGGATATTTGCCTTGTCTAAAACCAACCAGGGATAATATCCAGAATGTACAATGAACTCCTGCAAATCAGTAACAGAAAGGCAGCAACCTCTAGAGAAAAGCACGTGCAGGACATAAACATGGACTTTCCAGAAGAGGAAACAAAAAAGGTAACGGGCATTTGAAGAGACAATCAAACAATAATAATCACTGTAAAACAAATTTAAACAGTACTGATACAGTACTGATACATCACTTTATACCTATTAGACTGGAAAACAGTAGAGTTAGATAACGCCAAGTGTCAGTGAGGAAATAGAAATGAAGGAAGCCTCCTGCTCTGCTGGTGAAAATATAAACCCGTGCAGCCATTCTGGAGAGAATTCTGTGATACTTGATCAAATTAAGTGAATAACATTCTAGGATCCAACAGCTCACTCCTGGGAATACACCCCCCTCCCAGCTGTCTCGTAGGCACATAAGGAGACTTGTAGGAGGATGTTATTTGTAAGCTTTTGTGGTGGTGGGAAGACAGGTAATCTTCATATCTATCA